GTTGCAGGAGTTCCTCTCATCCAGTTTTCAGTTCTGTCTCAGGGGTAATTTTTCCACGAGTAGTTGTAAATTGGCTGTGTCCACGGGAGGAGGTGAGTTCCGAGTCTGCTTACGCTGCCATCTTGACTCCCATAACTCTGCTTATTTGCTTTCCTACGACCCTGCCCTACCTAAGGGGCAGAACCGGGTAAGGCTCCCAAGCCCTTATAGCCTGAGATGGGCTCCCATGATTTTGCCACCCAGGAAGGTGCAGCACCATAAGGGAAACCATTGTTTTGCCAACTCTCAACTCCTCCCAGCCATGGTTCCTACAGCATGGTAATGTGGGCCTGGGATGCTTCCCCTCGCTACTCCATCGGAGACTCCAGGGAAGAATTTTGGTTTAATCTCCTCTCAAAACTTTGAGTCATTTGCCCTAGATACTTGGCCAGAACATTCTGGGAGTTCTCTGAAATGAGAAAATAATAACAATACTTCTAGCTACCACTGAGTGCTTACCATGTGTTAAGCACTATAGTTAGTACTTATCTTGTTTAATCCTCATAGCATCCTTTGAAGTAGGTATTTATTATTTGCAATTTACTGAAAAGGAAACTGAGGTTCAAAAAAGTTAAAGTCTTGGGGCCTGGTGGTGTAGTGGTTAAGTTCGGTGCGCTCCACTTCAGCAGCCCGGGTTCAAGGGTTCAGATCCCGGGCGTGGACCTACACCACTCATCAAGCCATGCTGTGGTGGTGACTCACATACAAAATAGAGGAAGGTGGGCACAGATGTTAGCTCAGGGCCACTCTTCCTCAAGCAAAAAGAAGAAGATTGACAACAGGTGTTAGCTCAGGGCCAATCTTCCTCACCAAAGAAAAAAAAATTAAGTCTCTTGTTCCAAGTTACATAGTTAGTAAGTGGCAGAGTTGGAATTTGAACCTAATTGTATCTTATTCCAAAATTGTTTTGACCACCATACCATGAGGCCTCCCATCACTATACAGGAAGAGGGGCTGTGCTACAGAAGAAAACAGACTTCCAGCCGTATAACCTACATGCAGATCCCAACCCTGCCTTTGTGATCTGGCGCAAGGGGCTTTCAACTTCCCCAACCACAGATACTATCTCATTAAATCTTCACCACAGCCATATGACATAGGTGCTATTCTCGGTTTTACATCTGAGGAGACTAAGGCCTCAGTGAGGTGAAATGACATGCTCATGGTTAGAACTCACGTCTGGGCACCTGTTTCAGTGTTCCGTCCACCATTTCTCAACAGCCAGCTCCTAAGACCTGGTGTATCACTCAGGCAAACGTACAGCTCTCAGGATGCTGGTTGGAAGCCTATAAGGGGAGCAGGAGCCTCCCCCTCTTCTGCTCTCTTTCTCCTCCTGTTGTCTCTCTTTCTTAGAAACCTTACTGAGGCAAGATAAACATTTGCAGTTCAAGGAACAGATTTGTCAAAGCTTAAAAAACAGCACACCACAGAAGCCTGGGAATCTGCCTCCCATCCTTTGTATGAGTTTGTGCTGTTACTTGGACAGCATGGTATGGAGGGTATAGTGTTGAGAAAGTTCTTTCTGACCTTTTTTCTTTATGAGTATAATCTTGTAAGGTGGTTGTGAAGGTTAGAGATGATAAATATTCAAGGAGAGCAGGTAGAGCCTTATTAATTGATGGCAGTTATTTTCCCTGGCAGCGTGGTCTAATAGGAACCAGAATGGGAGTCAAGAGTCCTAAATCTATTCCTCTCTTATCCTGTGACCTTGGGCATGAGAGGCACTGTCTCTAGATAGGCTAGGTGATCTCTGAGGACTCCTTTCAGCATTAATATCCTGTGCTTTTCAAAAATGAAAGTAATAAATGCTTTTTATTTTTTTCAAAAAAATCAAACTGGACAGAATGTTATGAAGTAAAAAGTGAAAGACCTCTATCCTTGCCCCTATTCAGTTAATTCCCAAGGTAACACTTGTTGCCAGTTTCTGTCCTTTCCATTGTTTTCTGTATAGTTTAAATATATACAGGTATGTGTAAGTATCGCCAGCCCTGGTGGTCTAGTGGTTAAGATTCAGAGCTCTCACCGCCATGGCCCGGGTTCATTTCCCTTTCAGAGGACCAGACCACCTGTTTGTCGGTTGCTGTACGTGGCACATTGTGTTGCTGAAAGCTATGCCACCCGTATTTCAAATACCAGCAGGGTCACCTATGGTGGACAGGTTTCAGTGGAGCTTCCAGACTGAGACAGTCTAGGAGGAAGGACCTGGGCACCCACTTCCGAAAAAATTGGCCATGAAAACCCTATGAATAGCAGCGGAGCATTGTCTGCTATAGCGCCGGAACGTGAGAGGATGGCACAAAAAGACCAGGCAGGGTTCTGCTCTGCTGTACACAGTGTCGCTAGGAGTCAGAATCGACTTCACGGCACTAAGAACAACGTGGGAATATATATATGTGTATACACAAGCACACATATATGTGTTAAACACAATGGAATCTAGACTACATACTGTATTATGACTTATCCTTCCGCCTAACTTGTTTTGGGCATTACTTGAAAATTTAATTTATTGTTTTGAATTAATGTTTTATAATTTATTAAGTGGTCTCCTATTGATTACATGCCATGGTTTTTTTTTTTTTTTTTGAGGAAGATTGGCCCTGAGCTAACACCTGTTGCCAGTCTTCCTTTTTGCTTGAGGAAGATCACTGCTGAGCTAACATCCGTGCCAGTCTTCCTCTATTTTGTATGTGGGATGCCACCACAGCATGGCTTGATGAGTGTTACGTAGGTCCACGCCCAGGATCAGAACCGGCTAACCCCAGGCCGCTGAAGCAGAGTGCGCTAACTTAACCTCTATGCCACCAGGCTGGCCCCTACATGCCATGATTTTTTAAAGCAAATATACACATAACATTGGTTTTTAAATTTTCTTTTCAGGAAAAGAAGAAAAAGAAACATAGAGACAAGAAGTCATCTGACTCTGACAGCTCAGACTCTGAGAGTGATACAGGCAAGAGGGCAAGGCACACATCAAAAGACAGCAAGGCAGCAAAGAAGAAGAAGAAGAAGAAGAAGCACAAGAAGAAGCACAAGGAGTGAGAGTGGAGAGAGTCGAGGGGGTGGCTGAGAGAAGAAGGAACCAGGAGCCTTGTGCCCGAGGCCCCGGCTCCTGGAAAGACTCGTTAGTGAGAGTATGGCCTCCCACCCGACTGACTTCTCTCCCGTGGAAGATGGCTTCCCCTCATGCAGCCAGGCAGGTTTGGGAGTTAGATGTCAAAAGCATCTGCCTGAATGAGTTGTCGTTTCCTTATCATTCCTGGTCCCTTTGCAAATGACCCCTGCAGCTCACCGATTCATTTACCCCACTTCCTTCATTCAGCAGCAGGTCCTATTACCCTCTCCAGCTGCCACTGCCAGAGCCAGATTCCTGTACAGGAGTCCAGGCTAGAGCCACAGGTACTGCTGTGGAGGTGAGTCTGGCTGTAGTTGGAGAACAGAGTTATTGGCCCCTCCCTGTTGGTCTGCCCTGGGCTGACTGGTGGGTGATCTTGCTGCATCCAACACGGGGGCAGAGGGAGACTGACAGTATGAGGGAGAACATGGTAGGAGTGGTGCTCACTTTTTCCATACCCCCTAACATGATTCTACTATGCCAGAGGTGACAGCCAGTGATCACAGCCAGAAAACTATTGTTTGCAGTGACTGAGCTTGTGTGTGTGACATTCTGCCAGACCACTGAACCAGACAGCTCAAGCCAAGATCATTGCTCTACTTTGTATTTACTGCTGTGTGAGTCAATTGGTTCCACTTCAGGTCTCTGCTTAAATTCCTGGCACTAAATGGAAGTGTGTTTGGATTTAAACTTACTGAAAGCTCTTATTGATATTATCCCTCTTCCCAGGTCACTTACAGACTTAAAAGTCAGAGTCTGCATTAGTTGACAGAAAAACATTTAATATGTTACCTTAGACCTTGGATAGAGGCCCAGCTAAGGTACAGAGCCAGAGGCACTAGCAGGTCAGTCTTCTTAGGAGATCACTTATAAGCCCTCCCTTCTGTAATGATCAGATGATCTCTCCCCTACAGCTGATTAGAGAGCCAGTAAGAATTTGTAACCATGAGCAATGGCCTGGGGCATAGGTGGGAGCTCAGCCGTCATCTTGGCCAGTGGGCATTTTTTCCTACCACCATGGTACAAGCCTGGATCCTGTGTCCTGAGCCTGCATTCTGGAGAAAGACCACAGCATTCCAGCAGCAGACCAGACCATTCCAGCACAGACCATTCCAGCATTCCAGAGAAGAACAACTGTCTAGACCCACAGGCATTCAGTGCAGGATGGGCCTGAGGTGACAGTTCAGTAGCCAAGCCTGGGGAAGCCCACCACTGACTGATTACTCCAGGTTTGACTAGCTCATTTGGCCATGGGGAGGGGGCAGTGTAAAGGCAAGGGGTAGGTCCAGCTGTTTTATTATTGTGCATGTAAGTTGACGAGCTACCACTGTCCCTGAGACTGTGCATTTCAGTCTCTCCAGTGCTTCTTCCTGAGTGGCCTTCAGGCAGTCATTTCTGCCCACTCTCTGACACATAAGGAAACTGAGACTCCCAGAGTCATGTCACCAAAGGCAAAAAGGCAACTGGGTGGTCTTAGCTCTGCTTTATTGACTTCAGAGCACACTTTGCATGCAGTTAAAAAACAAACATACACAATGGGAACCGGAACTGGATCCAGGCTGGTGCCACCTGAGTCCAGAAGAATTCCCCCAACCAAGGTGGGTTTATACAAAATGCCAGAGGAAAAAATGAGGCAATCTGGTGCTGAGTCCACAGGTAGCCAGTTGGCAGAGGTGCAGTCAGTGAAGGAGTAGGCAGGTCACGCCCCTTTCTCGTAAGTGCGAGTGCTAACTACACTGCCATGGGTGAGTGTCTGGAAAGAAAGACAGAGTCAGATTAGGGCAGGTGAGGGCACAGGAGGTATTGGGAGCACTCTCCATTCTCATGGGGAGAGTCCTCTACCTTCATCCTAATAGTCTTCATTTATTGACTACCTATTATGTGCCAGGCACTCTGCATGTATTTTTTTCTAATACTTAACATCAAGTCTTTAGGTTAGGCATTGTATAATTCCTCTTTTCGAGACTTGGGAAAATGAGCCTTGAGAGAGGAAGTAACTTGGTCAAGACTGCAGTGTTACTTTTCTCTTGCACCACTCCTCTCCCTTCATCCTCAGTGCCCAAGGTGGTGCCTGGCACATAGCAGACAAATGGGTAAATAAAAATGTCCAGAGACTCTTGGGGAAGGACTGCGCTAGGTCACCAACTCTCCATTCCTTCCCTTACTTAGGGTAGTGCCAGGGCCAGAGGCCTGAACCCCCACCATCCAGCCTGGCATTGCAGAGCCAGGCCCATGGCCTCACACAGTCCGATTGCCCAATGAGTATTTGGTCCTGCATATCTTATTCCCACCAGAGTTAGACACCTCATTCTTCACTCTGCTGGGACCCCTGCCCCGCATGAATGCAAGAATGCAGTGAGCAGGTTACACTGACCCAAGGAGGTCTGCAGTGAAGATTCTGAGGCGAAAACCTGAGACCCTACAGAGTTAGGAGGCAGAGATCACAGGTGGCTGCTGTCTCTGCCCCTGGGTCTGGGGGTGTTCAGTCAAGGCTACATTATCCGAGTGAAGTCCCCAGATTTGTCCCTAAAGAGACAGATCTGCCAGCTGGTTGTTACTTCCTGTCCAGGCTGTAGTCAGGTGCCTGCAGTAGGCCAGGCATAGAAAGCACTGGGAGGAGGTGGGGCTGGAATGAAGCAGGAAGGACTGCTGTCAGGCAGTGCCCCACCAGTCACCAGCCTGTCCCTGCCCAAATGCTTTACATGTGGAGTGCAGTCCTAGGGAGGAGGGAAGGGCATCCTGGGATAGGAGGTGGGAGCCTCTCCCTGGGGCCTGGGATCTGAATCAGACCTGCTGTCTACTTCTCCCTGGGGCAAGGCAAGGTGGCCACACGGACGAGGAAACTAAGGCTCTGGAGCACCTGCTGCGTCCTCCCACGCAGTGATGCTTTGTGCTGTGCATCCACTGTCTCCTCAGACTTCCCAGCAGCCCGACAAGGCTGCTGTTATCAATACCCATTTTACAGTTGGACTTGGAGAGGGTGACTTGTCCAGGGTCACACAGCCTATAAGCTGAAATTTGAACCAAAGCCACTACATAGAAAATTCCCACCTAATACCACCTGACCCTGCCTCCACCCTCCACCCAGCTTCCACTGCTCTCAGGGATAGGCGTTGGCTTTTCACAGCAGGCTTGGCTGAAAGGGCAGTAGTAGTAACCAATTGGGTGAGGCTCCAAAGTTGTCCATCTTACCAGGATGAGTTTTCCATCAATTAGCTCCCGCATAAGTGTTGTCTCTTGCCCGTTCCACTTCTGCACATGGACAAGTTTGCCTCCATCCAGCGTCACAATGGACTGTGGAAAGAGGGTAGAGGCCTGAGCTGTGATCTGAGCCAGAACTGAGGGACAGCATGGGGTCCAGTCACTGGGGCCACAGAGGACTCAGCCTCTGACCCAAACTAATGATGGTGCTAGGACCAGAGCTCAGGCAGCCCACCTCCAGCCTAGCTCTGCAGGATGTTCAGTTCACCTCCAGCCTCTGCTCCACTCCTGCCTGGTTGGGGGAGGGGCCTTCAGGTGTTGGACAAGTAGGGAGAGGCAGGCAGTATGGTGGAGCCAGACAGCCTGGCTCTGAAAAGCACCAACATTCAAGATGGGCACTTTTTCCATACTCTAGGTGATGCCCACAGCCCCAGACCCCCTAAGATATAGGGGGCATGTACCAGCCTAGATCCCTGGGAAAGACTGGTGAGGAGGAAGAGTCCTGAGACTCTCCAGCCTAGTGGTGATCACACATAATGTCTAAAGGATCCTTGGGGATGGGAGGTATTGGAAAATTAGACTTCCTGCCCTGTATTCCTACCCCTCAGTCCACATCACATGACCCTTCAGCTGACAAGTGGGCAGCAACTGCCAACTCCTGGGACTGGGTGCCCTTGGAGTGTTCCACAGGCCTGGTCAAATGCCCACTCAGTCTTCTGGGTGCTGCCAGCCTGCATCAGCTCGTTCTCATTTGGCAGCTCTCCCAGGTCTCTTCTCTAGGAATTTGAGGCCTCTAGGCCAAGCTAGGGGACCCTGACTGAGCAGGGTTCAGTAGGAGAATCTGAAAACGCTGTGTCTATGTGTTTGGGGCTGGGTGGGGGGTGGGTGTGTATCCTTACCACCACCTTACTCCTCATTCCCATTCCTCTAGTTTTTTGCCCACTCAGAGCAGATTATTTTAGCTTAGGCATCCCAGAGAACTACTGTTGTGTTTAATTGGGGTTCTTGCCCCTCAAGAAGGTGGGCTAGTCCAAGGAGGTAGAGGCATGTGGTAGGGCAGCCACCTCTCTCCAAGGCAGGCTGCCATCTTTGGGCATCATCCCAGCTCTGCTGCCAGCCTCCTATGTGATCCTGGGCTGGGCTTCCTCCAGCTTCCTCCACAAGACCAGATGCTCCCCTATCCTTCCTGGGGGCAGCTGTGAGGAAGAGGAAACAGCTGAGGGGCTGAATGATAGGGTCTGGTGGGAGGATACTGCTGTAGGGACACCCTGTAGAGGTAAAAGCCCCTTAGTTCTCTCTCTCCCATGCCTGGTCCAGGGGCTGGGAGGCCTGAGGCAAGCTGTCAAGACAGCCACCGCAGGGTGACAAGCCCTGAGACTGGGGGTAGATGTCTCCTCCCTCCCTGGGGGGAGGGGCACTAAGGCTTGGTGGGAAGACACTACAAACACACTAGAGACAATGTTCTGTCCAGACATAGTTTTTCCTGCCTGTGGGCTAGCAGCATCAGAAATAGTTCCTCAGGGCCACTGGCCAAGCCTGGGAGGTGGAGGTTGGAGAAGAGGAAGCATCTTGAGTAGGTCTCAACCTCTTGTCCCCAGCTGTCTCCTTTGCTGCTGGAAGTCAGGATGACCTACTCAGTGGAGAGCTCTGAATTCTCCTGGGTGTCATTCCTAAAGCACTTGAGGTCACAGCCATGGCAACATAACCCCCATCTATGGAAGGGGAAAAAACCCCAGAGCTATTGCGTGCCAGGCACAAGGTCACCCAGCTGGAGCTGGAATAGACACAGGTCAGAAGAACATCCTGGCTCTGCTGCCCACTCCCAGAGGCAGCTAGCAGATGCTTCCCAAAAGGGAGGGAGGGAAACAAGAGGACAGGACTCAAGCATTTAGCACCTAGGACATTCTAGCACTGCACAGGCTTTATGGACCTTGTTCATTTCAATCCTCCATAATAGCCTACGCCTCAGGGTGCAATAGGGCGCCAAGACTACCATCCTATTCCCCTTTAGGGTCTCAATGCCCTCCATTCCCCAGGCCTGCTTCCCTGACTCACCTTGACCTTCCTGTCATCTGCCGTTGTCTCGTCGAACTCTACCCCCAGCTTGAAGCTGATCTCTGTGTTCTTGAAGGTGCTGTGTGTTTTTATGGTGATAGTGTCCCCATTTATTTCGATGATTGTGGTAGGCTTGGTCATGTTGGCTACCTGCCTGGTAGCAAAACCCACACCTGAGGGCAGAGGGAAGGTTATGAGTGTATGAGCTGGAGCAGAGAGGCAGGATATCAGGAGCTCAATGAACAACTCTTAGGCCTGGATATGGGGCAGAGGGAAAAGAAGGACGAGAACTTTCAAAGACTTTGCATGGCCTTTTTTTTTTCTTTTTTGCTGAGGAAGATTCGCCTAGAGCTAACATCCGCTGCCAATCTTCCTCTTTTTTTGCTTGAGGAAGATTAGCCCTGAGCTAACATCTGTGCCAGTCTTCCATTTTTTGTATGTGGGTTGCTGGCACAACATGGCTGACAAGTGGTGTAGGTCCGTGCCTGGGATCCAAAATCATGAACCCAGGCTGCTGAAGCGGAGCATGCAGACCTTTAACCACTAGGCCGTGGGGTTGGCCCTGTGTGCCCGTTTTTAAATTCAGTCTTCCTGTTAGCTCTGTGCAGTGGAGAGACACTATGGATCCCATTAGACAGATAAGAAACTTAAGGGACAGGTGTGCCACAGCAGGTCGCGGCAGAGCTGAGATTAGAGTAAGCTACTATTTGGTGCTTTCTGTGTGGTAAGAACTGTACATGTGTTTTCTCATTCAGTCCTTCCAGTGTCCCTGAAGGGTTGGTGCTGTTATCTCCACTTTACAGATGCAAAAACTGAGACAGAGTTGAAGCCCAGGATCACATATCTGGAATTCAAACCCAGAACTGTTTGACCACTTAACTGTTCAGCTGCACAGCCTCCCAAGGCTGGAGCACAGGGCTCCCTTCCAGGGCACCTGAGCAGCTTCCAAGCCACAGGCTGAGGAAAGAAGAGAAATGTGCACTTTGGCTTCCAAAGCCTTAGGGATAAGAATTTTCCATCTTTGGAAGTTTTTACCCTGAGACACACGGGTGCTCATCCCCCATATGTGGCAACAAGGCATTTTCAAAGCCTCTTATCCAGGCTCTAGGAGGTAGGCAGGCAGAAAGGAGTGTTTGTCTCAGTGTACAGACTTAGGAGAGGCCTAAAGGGGTAGCACGGCCAGGACTCGAATCCAGGTCTCCTGGCTCCTAGTCTAAGGCCCTATAGGGACTCCCTTCCTGACCCAAGCATGGCTTCCCTGGGTGCTGAGCGAAGCCCTCAGTGTCCTGTCAGGGTGTGGAACAGAGCTTAGGAAAGCCTTCACCCCTTCAGGTTGTGGGATCTGTCCTTTTGCCTCCAACCTCCCATCATGACTGCCCTGCCCCCCAGCAGCCTATGCTGAGCTGTTCCCCAGGGCAGAGGCGAGGCAGGAGCAGCCCAGTGTGGTGAGGTGATATGTACAAAGTCCCCACATGTGCCTGGCTACATAGTGCTTGCTGGAAGCTAGGTACTTAGTCTATACCCTACTTGGGTTGTTTTACTTAATGCTCCTAACAGCCCTGAACGGTAGGTTTTATTATCCCCAATTTGCAAATGAGACTTGGAGAGTGAAGTGATTTGCCCAAAGTCAAAGTGATCTAAATTTAAATCTAGGCTCCAAAACTTCACTGTTCCTCCTGGGCCATTCTGCCTGCCAGCACCTACTTCATCCGGGCACCGAGGCCACCAGGTGTGCCTGTGATCACTGGTACTAAGTAGGCTGGGCCTCTGCCCCGAGAACCCAGGGTCTAAAATGAGAGGATCAAGGGCAGCTCTGCAGCTGTGCCGCTGCTGGCCCACCCTCTCTGGCCAGCAAGGGAGTTAGCCTTGCCCCCTGCTATCAGAGTGAGTCAGGCCAGTCCCACTCCCCAGCACAGTGCAGGGCCTTGTCACCGCACAAGAAGCTCTGTTTGTTTAGGACCTACCCAGAGGTGCGGAGTGTTTGAGGAAGGAAACTACTGTGGGGCAAGTGAGGGACTGAGCCAAGAGAAACTAAGCCCGAAAACTGGGCTGACAGAATTTAGGAGACTCAGTAAGAGCTGGGTTCTACTTAGAAATGAAGCTGAAGCTATTTACTGAGAGAGCTGAGGGGGGTCTTTTCTCCCCCGTGGGCCTCCTTTCTATCTGTACACGTGAAGAGCAGGCTGGATGGACTCTCAGCCCCCTAGCCCAAGTTGGGGCAAAATAAGGAAACAAGGGTGGTAAGGATATTACTTACCACTTCAGGCACTCAGATGTTCAATTGGAATGTCCGTTTTGGGAAGAGGAACTAACCCTGGGCATCCCTACTTCCCCAACAGCTGCCCAGGGCCCCCTGCTTCTGAAGAGTGGCTACCTTCCTGGAGTCACTGGGCATAGTCCCCAACACTGGGTAGGCGCAGTTGAGAGCTTTGGTCCCTATTTCAGAAAAGGGTTAGGAACGGAGGTGAGAGGTGCCTGGAGTGGACCCCCACTCCTTCTTTGGGTGTCTGCCACAATCCAGGCCCCCTTTCCTGGGAGGAAGGCATGGAACCTAGATGGACCATGGACAACATTCCGGTTTTCCCTGTCCTAGCCTGGGGGACTAGGATAATCTCATAGCTCAGGATTTCAGACAAAGGGTATCACCTGCTCCATCTAAGCCCATACCAGGAGGGGAAGGGCTGAGGTCAATCATTAGCTAAGCAGTTCCTACCACTCCCACCCCCAGGGCCCATACTGGGAACTGCTCTGGGTTATAGATCTAGAAATCTAGGTTTTCATATCAGCTTTGCTGTAGAATTGATATGACAAGTTATACTCTCTCTGGGTCTGCTTCCCCATCTGTTGAACTAGGCAAGGTATGGGGATCTCCAAGGACCTCACCAGTAAGACTCTTTGAATCTTTATTCTTCCCCATCCCAACACCACACTCTCCTAGACCAAAGACCCTCCTTGCCTTTAACAGGTCTTGGCCTTGCTCCAGGATTCTTTGCTGCATCCCAGAAGTCCCTCCCCAACCAGTAGGCTGAGCCTTGGGTTGTAGCTGGTAATGGGCCTTTAGCCGCACCCTACCAACAAGGCTCACAGACAGTGATCAAAGCCTGGTTACACACCACTGCAGGACAAGGTCAGACTGGCTGGTGAGAAAGAGGGCATCCTCCAGCGACAGTCCTTTTCCCTAACCCAACATGGAGGGTCAGGGGTTGTTGCTAACTGTGCAGGCCACTATCTGACCTCCTCCTCACATCCCATTCATGTAGTTCCCCACTCTTCCGTCTCCCTCCTCCTGGGGATTCCCTACTTCTTTAGGCCTCAGTACACTCCCTATCACCCCCATTCCAGGTCTGTGTTCTGTCTCCCATTCCTAAACCACCTATGCTTCTGTTCTTTTCGTCCCCTAGCTAGCTTCCCACCTTCTGCAATCAATGCTCTTTTCATCCAAACCCAGCCCCTACCTCCAGATCATGTACACCTCTTCCTCGAAAGCGCCTCCCTGCCCCCCACTCCCCCACCCCACCCCCCACCCCCATGGACCAGCACATCTGCCTCCTCCTTGCTCCTCCCTACCTGGGAATCCCTCACGCCAGATTCAGACTATGAAAGCCCCCTCTCAATAGGCCTCGCATGCCCTAGCCCAGGATGCCCCCTTCTCCGCGTCTCCCTACTACCCAACCTTGACTGGGAGGGATGCGGCAGGCGAGCAGGGTACTAGCCCCGGTGCGAGCGCTGCGCCGGGCTGGGCACGCAGCCAGCCCCTCCCCAGCCCAGCATCCCGGGCCGCGCTCACCGATTGACTTCATGTAGTCATCGAAATTTTTGCTGTCCACTAGCTTCCAGGTGCCCACGAAAACGTCCACCATGGTGAGGCTGGGCTAGGCTGAGAAATAAGAGACTACAGAGCAGACGTGCAAGCACTCAGAGACCCACAGCTCCCAGCCCGCGCCGCTTTAAATAGCCCTTGTATCACGTGATGAGGCGTGGCCCACACCCGGGCTCCCGAAATAGGAAGCCGCCGGCTGTCGCTCACTCGCCGGGGGCTGGCCGCCCATCCCCCAACCCGCCGAGCCGGGGAGGGGGCAGTGAGTGGCGCCCGGCTCGCTTGCGTCAGCGCGGGTACGCGGCCGCCAAGTCCCTGCTCTGGGCTGGCAGAACCTGCCCTCTTCCCTGGCCTCAAGGCGCTCTTCGGAATCTGAGAAGGAAGCAGCTGGGGGCACGGTGCCCGCAGGCTGGGGCACACGCCACGGACATCTTCCGTCGCCGAGGTTGGGATTAGAGCAGAGATGAGAAGGAGAAAGGAAACTCGCCCGTGAGCTGATGCCCACGCCGGGAAAGCTCTGGCTGACTCTCGCGGCGCAGGCATCTTGGTCCTTATTTTATAGGTGAGGAGTCCAAGACTCAGAGGAGTACTAACAAGGTCGCAGGAAATAAGGAGAGGGTGGATTGGAGCCCAGATTGCAAAGCTGGGCCAGCCGGCTCCAGAACTCGCGCTCTGCAGCCACTCCCCACTGCCCGGTGGCGGGGAGAGCCACCACGGGCACCGTCGGCGGCTGACCTGTCCCTGTGCCCTCTGTCTCCCGCCGCGCCGCGCCTGCCCGACACGTGCTCGCCCCTCCCTTCGGAATGTCTCCCGCGCGCGCCTTTCCGCCCTGCTGTCCAACTCCCCATCCACCCTGCCACTGCTCCAGGCTTTTCTGACGTCTACGCACAGCTCTGAGCATTTGGTCAGGTCACCCTCCTTCAGAAATTCTGTCCCTCCAGCCAGCTGTTCAAGGCCCAAGGGCAGCGCCCCCACCTGCCTGACTGCCGCAGCCCCGCCTGCCGCCCTTTCTCTGGCCTCTGCGCACCAGCAGGCAGCCTGCGCTTTCAGAGACCGTCAGTCACCTCCTTTAAAGAGCCTACCTATGGTTGTTTGGCACTTTAGAGTTTACACAGCACTTTTAATATAAGATCCACTTTGTATTAATGTTTATTGCATGCTGAGGGCTTTAAGTACATTGTCTCATTGAACTTTTTAAAACGAAGTCCATGAGTAGGTGTTATTGTTATCCCTGTTTTATGGATGAGCAAACTGAAGCTTAGAGGAGTCCAGTCATTTCTGAATCCAGCAGTTCTTAAAGCTCCTGCTTTGTGCCGCGCCCTGGCTCAGCTCTGGAGAGACAACCATGGATAAGACACACACTCGCACAGCTCGCCTTTGGGTGGGCAGACCCAAAACTAGTGTGGTGACCAGGGGGAGACCTGTCCTGATCTGAGGGTTCAGGGGAGACTTCCCAGAGGAATGTGGTGCAAGCGAATTCCTGACAGATAGGAGGCCCAGGGTACGGAAGTGGTGCCTAACTGAACTTCAGCCAGCAGAGGTCCGTCCAGGGGGACCCTGGGGCCCTGGCAGCTCTGCCACACATGTACCATGTGGCAGGCCCTCCTCCCTGGGCCTCTGTTTCTCATGTGGAAGTGGAGAACATCTGCCCCTAACTCCCTTCCCTTGACTTTCTGGAAAGGAGGCCAGGGAGGAAGAGCCCTCTCTTCCCCAATGTCTTGGTTCTTTTGGACAGGTCCACTTGCCAGAATACTGAGGGGCCTATTTCTGCAAAAGCTGCTGGGACAGGCCTCAGGGCTGGGCATGGAGCCCTGGTGACCTCACTACCGGAGCAAGTGCAGGTGGAGGAGGGGAGTGGGATGGTTTTTAACTGAAGGTCACAGCCTTTAGACGCAGGGCCACCTCTCTCAAGGACTGAGTGCTTGGGACCAGAGCTGTCTCCCTGTGCGCTCCTTGTAATGCAGTGTTGGAGACCTGGGGCTAGGCTAATAGCTGCTGGCAGACAGATCTGTGTTCCCATTCGGATTCCATTGAGTACTAGCTGTGTGGCTGTGGGCAATTCACTTAAGCTACTCTAAGTCTCAGTTTCCTCTTGAAAATGGAGATAATGACAGTATTTACCCTGACAGAGGTGTTTGGGGATCAATGAGATAATGCATTTAAAATGCTGAACGTGACAGATGTGATACGTGTTCACTGCTGCTGCTGCTGTCTTCATGATTATCTCCGTGGGGAGTGCAGGACTCCTAGATCTGCTCTCAGCTCTGCCGCTCCCTTGCCGGGCCACCCAAGGCAGATAGCTCTGCTTCTCTAATCCTCAGTTTTCTTATTTCTGAGATGGGATTAGAAACTGCTGCAGCTGTGAGGAAGGGGCTAGAGAGATGTTCAGGATGGGTTGGTGGGGACACTGCCAGAAAGTCCTTTTGCTCCCTCTCTTGGCTCTGCCTAAGTTGAACAGCATGGTGCTTTGAGGAACTCGAGACAAACCCTAGGCCCACTATTCTCGCTGCCCTAAACTCATCTCCCCCACCACACTCAGACCTGGTCACCAAAATTGACTCCTACGCCGCATCCTATCTCCTTTACACCTGGTTTTCATTCTGCTCCCTTCTAAGTATGTACAGCCTTCTCCTCATCCCTCTGATTACCTGCATCCTCCTTGCCCTGTTATGCTCCCTATATCTGGGGGGAAGAAGGTTAAGGGGAGGGAACCCTGTCCCTTTTCCTGCCCCCTTTCTTGCCCTTGGCAGGTCCAGATATTGATATAACATCTGGCACGCAGCAGGACCGGTCCCTGCCAAGAGCAGCATCTCCCCAGCCCTCGCCCTATGGTGATGTCACTGTTCTATGTTTCCACGGCAACCGCAGGCTGGGAAGATGGAGAACAGGAGAGATGAGTAACCAGGAGAGAGCCAATGAGATGGGCCAGCAGCACCGGATGATCCATGGGGCCATGAGGAGAAGGGGAGAGGGAGCCCTGCTCAGCATCTTCAGCTGTTCCCTGGCCTCTCCCTGCCATCTGGACGCCTCCACTAGGGGATGTGCTGCTGGTATAGGGAAATACGCAAGAGACAGAGGCCAAAGAAGCTCAGCTGGAGGCTCCACTGACCCGAGAACATGGAGCCCTCCTTTACCCCTTCAGGGCCTACGTCTGTGGCTGCTGACCATCCCCACCCCCAGTAGCTGCAACTGGGGACTTTTCTCTTTGGCTGGTAACGCTGGTGGGGCTCTCTGTCTCTGCCGTGGAATCATCAAGTCTTAGACAACCCTTCTCTCCACACCCTCTATACCCTCCCTTGATTCGTGATGTATTCAGAAGGAGTGTCTTTGGAAAGAGGCCTGGTTCTAAATCCCAAGCCTGCCACTTACTAGCTAGAGACCCGGAGCAAGTCCCTTCCCCTTTCTGAGTCTCCTTTCGCCCAAGTGGAGGAAGGCCATGTACTTCTCAAGGCTGTCATGAGAGTTACAAGAGATATCTTATGTATGGAAAGCCAAACACACACTAATATTCGATGAATGGTGACTTCCTTCTCCCTTCTGGGTCTCCTCCCCAGGGCAGTTGTCCCAGAGGTGCACAAGAATGAGCCAAGGCCCTCTGACACCTTGAATCAATAGAAAAGGACCCAAGTATATCTCCCTCTCATCCTCACTGAGGTCATTGCGTGCCTTCAGACACTGCAGAGGAGTTTCCTCAGCTCTCCCTTTAGATAATCCGTCCGTTCTATCAGTCTTAATTGAGCACCTCCTACACCCAGGCACTGCGAGGGGCTCGGTGGGGAGTCATGGTGAACGGGAGGGCCGCAGCCCCTGCCTTCCCTGAACTCACCTGGAGGGGACTGCAGCCACCGTGGGTAGAATGGGGTGTTCTTTCTGCCACCAGGAAATCGCTTCCTTATTCCCCAAGAGTTCTAGATACTGAGGGTCTGAGAAAACAAATGATGGCAAAAGATAGAGGTTTACTCAACAGCAATTGCTTCTGAGAAACTGCTGCCGTGGCGGAGTGCTCCCTGGAAGGAGAACAATGGCTCTCCCTCCCCAGGGAAGAGAGGTGCAGGCAGTGCAGAGCGGATGGGCAGTCACCTCTGCCTTCCCAGAAACTAGCTGTCATCCCTCCTGTTGCTGACAGAATAAAGTCCAAACTCTAGCCTTGTCCCATCTGTTTCACTAGTCTAGTTTATTACTGAAATCCTACTCCAAGAAGAGTGCCTGGCGGATAGCAGGCACGAATGAATATTGAGTATTGAATGAATGAATGAGTATATTGCATATTGAATGAATGAATAAGTGAGTGTCTACCTTTCTGTCTTTCTGTCTACCTTTCTAGCTTTAGGGGCTCAGAGTTAGACTCACTTGGGTTCCAGTCCTGCCCCTGTTACTTACATACCAGCTGTGTGACCTCGAGCAAGTCACTATCTCTCTCGGTCTTATTTTGTTCATCTGCAAAAAGCACAGTATGATTCCCACCCAGCCAGCCTCCCAAGGACCAGGGGGAGATAAGGTAGGATAAGCTTGGGAATGCAGTACAGAGGTTAATTGTTTCTCTTCTCAGCCTCCTTTGCTGGCTGCCCACGGCTCTCCGCACCAGCCCCACAGCCCCCAGGCTCTGCCCCCCTGCCTGCCAAGCTCTCCACACTGCAGCCACTCCGCCCTTTTTGTACCTCAAAGGGATGCTATGTTTCTCTCTTGCTCTTTGCCTAGAATACTCTTCCTCCCTCGCCCCCCTCTTTTAGTTAACTCCTATTCACTTTTTAGCTTTTTGTCCCTTCCTCCGGGAAGCCCCATCCTCCTATCATAGCACCTGCCCTGCTGTCATGGGTCCATTTGTTTCAGAATCTGTCTTTCCTGTTACACCCGAAAGCCTGCGAGGGCTCTCTGCTGTGTCCAAAGTGCCTAGTGCAGGGCTTGGCACAGATTTGTGGAGTGGGCACACAGTCCCTCTGGAGCAAAGAAAGCCACTTGACCTCTTCAGTGTTATCTCTGAAAATTCTGCCCCCCACCCCCTGCAACTTTCCTCCTGCCAAAGTGTCCTGTCTCATGTCCTCTTTTTCACTCCATCCCGAGGGCCATGAGACTGGCCATTTCTGGTGTGCAGTGGGGCCCCGAGTACTTCCAGGTGAGCACTGCCCTTCTGGGCTCGTCGCTG